GAGAGAGAGCACGACGTGTGAGAGAGGGCGACGCGCGAGAAGAGAGAGAACGACGCGCGCGAGAGAGGGGGAGAGGACAACGCGAGAGAGGACGAGGCGAGAGAGAGAAGACGACGTGCGAGAGAACGAGGAGAGAGAGAGCACGACGTGCAAGAGAGGGCGACGCGCGAGAGAGAGAACGACGCGTGCGAGAGAGGGAGAGAGGACGACGTGAGAGAGAGAGGACGAGGCGAGAGAGAAGACAACGCACGCGAGAACTAGGCGAGAGAGATAGCACGACACGCACGACAGAGCATGACGCGCACGGCAGAGCACGAGGCGCGCGAGAGGACGAGGCGCGCAAGAGAAAGGGAGAGAGGACGATGCGAGAGAGGACGAGGTGAGAGAGAGGACGCGCGAGAGAGAACGAGGCGAGAGAGAGATAGCACGACGCGTACGACAGCACGACGCGCGCGAGAGAGGACGAGGCGCGAGAGAGAAGACGAGGAGCGCAAGAGAGAATGGATGACGTGCGAGAGAAAGAAAAGGCGACGAGAGAGAGAGCAGGACACGAGAGAGAGAAAAACAGAGAGAGGACGGGGCTAGAGAGAGGACGAGGTGCGAGAGAGAACGAGGCGCGAGAGAGAACGAGGCGCGTGAGAGAGGACAAGGTGAGAGAGGACGGGGCGGGAGAGAGAGAGAGAGGACGAGGCGGGAGAGAGGACAAGGCAAGAGAGAGAGAGAGAGAGAGAGGACGAGGCGTGAGAGAGGGAGGACGAGGCGTGCGAGAGAGGGAGGACGAGGCGTGCGAGAGACAGAACGAGGCACGCGAGAGAGAGAGAACGAGGCAAAAGAGAGGACCAGGCAAGATAGAGGGAACGAGGTGAGAGAGGGGACGAGGAGAGAGAGAGAGGGTACGAGAAGAGAGAGAGAGAGCGGGCGAGGCAAGAGAAAGAGAGAGAGAGGACGAGGCGAGAAAGAGTAAGAGAGAGAGGACGGGACGAGAGAGACAACGAAGCAAGAGGACGAGGCGAGAGAGAGAACGACGCGCGCGCGAGAGAATGACGCGCGCGCGAGAGCGAGGACAAGGCGAGAGGATGAGGCGAGAGAGAGGACAAGGCGCGAGAGAGAGTACGACGCGAGAGAGGACGATGCACGAGAGAGGATGATGCGAGAAAGAGAGTATGAGGCAAGAAAGAGCGGACGAGGCGAGAGAGATGATGAGGCGAGAGAAAGAGAGATGACGAAGCAAGAGAGGACGAGGCGAGAGAGAGAGGA